CACCAGCGCATCCCACACTTCGTTCGCCTAAAATATACCATTTCATATGAAAAAAAAAAAAAAATTAATCAGTTTCGTCATCTTATTTTCCCACGCGACCAATAGAGAGGAGTTGCAAGCATCAGATAATCACCAACGAGCTCAAGTTATGCTAAAGTATGGAAAACACAAAATGTAAACTAGAAAAGGGCCACTTAGATGGTAAGAGTAACAGTTAAGAAACGGATAAAACAAGCAGAACAGTGGTACCCACGAAACGTTGAAGGAACGATATCGGAGTTACCGGACACACTTTCCTGGATCATAGGCGAATCCAGAGAGAGAGGAGGAGGCTCACCCACCGGTACAATTAGCAGGGTTAAAACTGTAGAAAACTCTCTTCCGCACCCTCGGTCGCCCCTTCCATCGAGGAGCCTCGCTCCTTGCCTCCCGGTCATCGCCCCACTGCTAGACTTTCAGTCCGCCCTGGATCTGCCTCTGTCCGGGATACTGCTGATATCATGGTTGAAAAATGGCCGGCGAGAATTTAGACTACGAATTCCAGCTGTTCCAAGTATTCCAGGCATATTCCCACGTGCAGTCTCAGCGTACTTTGCAAATGTCAAGTTCTCAGAACAGTATTTAGCTAGTTCTTCGGCATCCTCGGAAAAGACGGGCAGTTGCATTTCCTGACTGCTACTGACAGACTGCTATCACCAGGGTTCCTTTCAAATTTTCGTGCCTTTCAAACAAATTAACATGCGGGGAGGTATTTTTAAATCTTCGTGCTTCAAAAGTAAAATCCCTTAGAAATCAGTGTGTGAGTCCCAGGACAGTGATATTACTGGGATGCTTGCACACGCTGAAGGCAATCAAGCTAGGTCTTCACCCGCACACCTTCAGCTAGCATCCATTGCCTGTTCAACAATTATGTGCCATGTGTACAAAGTTTCCCCAAAAATTTAACAATAAAGATAAAATTATCAGTTTCTTCTAATATTCATCGGCTGAACATTTTCATTCGAGCGTAAAGAAAAAGGAAACAAAAATCACACAGACCTGAGGTGTCATCAGCCATAACTGTCCATCGGTGAGCAAGAAATGAAGGAAACTCAAGCGGACACGTAAATTATCGCAATGCGTGTAACGGCCATCAAACACCATGGAGCCCGGATCAGCTTCATTACAAGGCTGAGATCGGTTCGACTAAAATATTGCTTCATCGTTCGAAAGCTGTACAAAAAATTCTGAATTGCAACACTTCCAGAAATCACAGGACCCCGGCGAGCAGATAAAAATGAAAAACGAAATAAAAACATACCACAGTATTTCGAACTTTGTCCATATACAGCGAAACATTCTCTGAAAGCCTTGAGCAGAGCGCCGTATCTTGCTGTATCGTTGAAATGAACTCTGCTCTAAAAAGCACGCAAAAAATTATTGATGCTGAAAAAAGGATACTAAAATTTCATGCTTAGCTCGTCTCAAGCAATAATTCTCCAGTAATTCAAATATTCGCAGAATCAATCTCCACCTTTTCTTAATAGAAGTACAGCGCTGAGTTGCATGGAGGCAAAAACTTCTGAAAGGTAAAAAACGCATCTCTCCATCGATTTCCACGAACCCGCAAGTGGTCCCAATGGTGATGATGCCAGTGCCAGGCTACTTCATTGCTGGAGTTAAGCACTCGACTTTCAATAAGACAGCAGCGCCACTGCGCCATGACAACTCGCCTGTTCTCTATTACTCCATT